AAAAAAAAAAAAAAAAAAAATTGCTGTATGGCCAGGCATAGTGGCCAACGTAGGAGGATTTCTTGAGGTAAGGATTTTGAGACAGCTCTGAGCAAGAGAGAAACCCCACCTCTACAAAAAAATAGAACAATTTAGCCAGGTGTGGTGGCATGCTATAGTTCTTCAGCAGAAGGTGAAGCAGGAGGATCCTTTGAGTCCTGGACTTTGAGGTTGCAGTGAGCTATGATGAGGCTACTGTACTCTAGCTGGGGTGACAGAGGGAGACCCTATCTCACAAAAAAAAAAAAAAAAAAAAAAAAAAGAAAAAGAAAAGGAGAAGTATGCTATAAAAGAAATTGTCAGAAAACTGGTTTGTGACATAGGTTCTATTAACTGCCTTAGTGTATCCGCAAATTTTCTAAGTGAGAAAAAGAAATCTTACCCTTAGTTGTGACTTTTCACCAAATATATAAAGGGAAGCTTGGCGTTTCAAGAGCTGGTTTTGTAGGTAGGTGCTGTTGCTAAAGGAGGCAGAGTGATCCTTGCCTGCCAGCCGGGCACCAACATCAATGAAGGATGTTGGAGAGCTGATCAAGCGAGTACTAGAGCGAAGACTTGCCCATACACCTTCATAAAAGCCAAAAGAAGTGAGTGAGATAATCTGAGGTGGGAATGCCACTGGAAAGGAAAAAGACGCATGCTCAGGAGCTACTGCTTTAGAATAACAGCAAGTTAATCAATCAAAGTAATCATAAATCACACTAGTCATCTACTATTTATCTTTGTCACATAATCATTCAATATATTCAATATAGCATTTCAAAATCACACAATCTTAGGCTCAGAAAAACCTAAGAAGTTATTCTAGTCAATCTCCTTTTATATTTTGATGTAAGCTCAGTAGGTAAATACTAAGATCGTAAGTCAAAAGAGTACACTGACATTGGAAATTAAAAATGCTATTAGGAGGCACCAATTAAATTTAGGAAGGAGATTTTCTTAGGGCTTCATAAAAAAAGTAAGGAACATTCTTTTGCTTATTTAATCAATTGAAGAAGAAATCTACATTAAGGTATAAAATGGAAACTTAATAAATGTACTAAAATTAGAGCCTGGATTTAGAATTAATATTTGTATATCAGGACAAAATAATGTAATTCTAAACAAGTAAAAATTATATTAAAAATTTTCCCAGTATCCATAAAAAATAAGGGGAAATCATAAATTCAGTAACATGCATTTCTCTGAATCTTAGGAGGGTTTATTTAAAATGTACAGTCAGAAGCAGATGTCTTGTAAGAGAAAGGGCAAGCTAAAATGCTAGAAAAGTCTCGTAATATAAGCTCGCCCTAATTATATTAGTTAGAACAATCAAGGATTTCTATCATCAAGTAAGATTATTACATATTAAACATCCAAGCACAGAAACATACACTAGTTCCCAAACTTAACTAGCACTGAAGTACTTTCAAAATAACAGAGCCCTTCATAAATCCTGCAGATTGTCATGTTCCTAACAGTGACCAGGTCACAGGGACACAGGACTTCCCCACTGCTTCTCTATAGCAGGCTTTCTTCTCTAGACCTAGAGAGGATATTTGAGAAGCTGCTTTCTTTTCCCAGTGTTACATCGAGCCATGTTTCTAGGTAATTAAAAGTTACCATGATACTATCACATCTGTTTTCCCCTCATTTATGAGATCAGGAGACTAGTTCCCAAGAAAAGGTTTTATAGGTGATTTCTGCTTAACATGCATGGATCTTTCTATATAATCTATGAGTTTTTCTTACATATTATAGAAAGTATTAAGGTTTTGTACATAGAATTACCAAAAAAGCAGAATGTAGATGGGGATAAAGGATATAATTTGACAAACAAATGTGAAAAAGTCACTTGTAATGTATATTGGTTCGTATGAAGATGGTTTAAAAAGAATGACACAGCAGGACACATAATACAGTACCTTGATTATGGACTCTTCCCTTAGCTGAAGATTTGGGATTTGACTGAGTAAAACATTTATCTCTGTACCCATGCACTGGTAGGTAAGATTAAAGACAGAAGGAGAAATAAAATGCATATAGTAGCAAACATCAAAGCAGACTGAGTAAGAAAAGAATGGGTCATTTAATTTTTAAAGTTAAGTTTTCATAGGGGAAAATGTAAATATAATAAAAGTTGAAGGTTTAATTAACAAAAAGCTGCACAGTCACAGAAAAAAGATGAATTGAGCGCCCGTTAAATGGAAGTTCAGCATCTGTTTATAAAGACTATAAGCACAATGAAATGGACAGCACAGAAGAGGGTGCCACTCAAAAATTATATCAAATGGAATAAGCTTTTGAGGATTGTCATTCAGTCAGGAACAAATTTACATAATAAAATTTAGGAATTTGGGGTGTGTGTGTGTGTCTGTGTGTGTGTACATCAGGAATACACTGGCCCTAGTATTGAAGAAAGGAGACTGATTGGCAAATGCTGCCTGCTGTACAACACAGCTGTTCTTGAGAAAGGTCATCACACCAGGAAACAGGGAAGCTCTAGCAACCATATGGAATAACTAAGGACATGTTTTTGTGGTAGAGCATTCATCAAGCATTGCCACGCTAGTTCCTTTTTCTCTTTTCATTTGGAAATTTTATTTATTTTGTATAAATAAATAGCCGTGAGCAGCAAAAATTCATAATCCTGTGACAATTCCCAATACCACTAATAACACAGCTTGTGATGGTTGAAGTAATGACTTTTCTTAAAATACCTACTTGCACCAAAATGATAGGCAGTATAGGAGATAACACTTTTGTAATTTGAGTAATATTATTTTTTAGCAACAGAAAGAAAGTAGTTTCTGACTATGGCAAACTTTACTTGGTAATAATAAAAATGGTGAGAAGTCCCATCGTTTCCTAAGCCAAGGAATTGCTCATTCAATTAAAGGAAGTGATTCTGTATTTACTCAGGACCATCATCTTTAATAGTATTGTTAGCTCTACAATGTAAAACTAGATAAAATATGACACAATAATATGATAAAAGAAAAAATCATTAGAAGCGATTTTTCATTCCTGTCTCACTCCTTTGGAAGCATGAAGTGGAAAAGCACGGCCTGCTTAGTGGCCAAAGGAAGTCAGCCATTAAGGGCTGCTCAGGTGCCAGCACTGCATACAGAGAAGGTGACTGTAAGACATAGCAAAGACTGTGGATGACATGGCGAAGGCACTTGGCCAACTGCTCTCCTTTCTGCCAAAGTTTTGAACTTTACTGCCGGAATATGGGACACTAAGATGATTATAGTGAAGCTTCAGTGGTTTCTGATTCTGAGATACTATTTCCTTAATACATCACTCTTTCTTAAATTAGTCTCTCTGCCTGTGATGATTTCTCCCATTTCTTTACCTGACACACTCTTACCTATCCCTTAAGATCCAGGTACAATGTTAACTTCTCTGAAAGGCATTCTTGATTGTCCCAAGTTGTAGAGACCTCTGTTTAAACTCTGATCACATTGCACTGTGATAATCTGCATATTCTTTTATTCTACGAGATTGCAGGAGCAGTAACCTAATCATGTTCATTCTTGTATCCTTGCTGACACTCAAAGCATTTGTTGATTATTTACTTTTGCAAATCAATATTTTCTGAGCTGTTGTGACTCTCTATTATTGGCCTGTGCTGTAAGGGGTCAGCAGAGGGCTTTGAGAGTTATAATCCCATCTGAAAGCTATTTTAACTAAAGGAATTAGACTACTGCATAGGTAGTGGTGAGGTCTACTTAGATTTCTTGGGTGTGATTCCTAGATGTACTGAGGAACAGGACACCAGCAAAGGGTCTAAATAGCTTGGTACTATTTATTGTCCAAACTGCAGGATCCCTGTTAGTGGCTTGTGAAATTACTTTAGCAGGTCTAATCAGTATTTTGTTTAAAAGTGAAACAGATTACACTGAAAACATTATGTGCACTGCATGTGTATAGATAAATATTGTTCCATAAAACTTTTAGTATACATACATTTGTTATAACTCAGTACTACCTGGTTTGTGATACAAAATGAATATGTATATATACCAAAAGACATAAAATGTATTGTTACTGTGAATCATGATAAAAAAGTTTAAAAGTTACTGGTTAGAACTAGAGTATATGTCTTCTATCTCTTGCTTTGGGTCTGTAAGGCTCAAAGTAATTTAAGTACTAATGTAGATTTTGTTCCAATTTCAACAGAATATTAGGCAACATCAATAATAACTACAACAGTAACCATGGCAACTAACACTTGTTAAACTCCTACTATGGGCTACTTACTAAATGAAAGATTTTACATATATTATTTCATTTATTACTGATAACTACCCTTAAGCTTGGTACTATTTATTAGCTCCATTGTACAGATGAGGACACTGAAAATTAAGAGGTTTCCTAATTTACTATCACCCAATAAGTAGTAGGGCTATTGTCTGGATCTGAATGTAACTAAACTCTAGATGTATTGTTACCTGAGCAACCCTGTGACCCTGGATTGTTCTTTAGAGAAAAAATTATGCTTTATTCCCTTTGGGAATGCACTGTAGTTTACACCAAGAGTGTTTCCTAAGCACTGGTGTTAGTCTCCCCATGCTGTTCAGACCAAAGAAGAGAAGGAACAGAGATACTTAGGTTAGATTTGGGGCCTTGTTCCTCATTATGTGCTATGCCTTGCCCAATGCATGAAACACAAGATATCTTCAGTACATTCTGCACTGAAATGGCCCAACACTGAACTAATTCTAGTTCCAGCTACACTGCTATTTGCTGTGTGGCCTTGGCCATATCACTTACTCTCTCTGGGCCTCTTAAAACACCTATCCTGGAGATTATTTCAAGAATAAAATAATATATGTAGTAGAACTTAGAGTGCCACAAAAATGTTAAGGATGAAAATTAGAAAGCTATCTCTGTGTGGCTACTGCTCAAATATACCCAGCTACTATATTTTGGTATTTTTAAGAGGAAGTACTGATTTTCTTATGGCATTTTCCCATTCAAAAAAATAATTTATCCAAGTTGTGCATATGTGCTTTCCCCCCGAGGACAAACATTATTTCACGACGTTTTTTTCTTTCTTTTTTTTTTTTTTTTTTGAGACAGAGCCTCAAGCTGTCCCCCTGGGTAGAGTGCCGTGGCATCACAGCTCACAGCAACCTCCAACTCCTGGGCTCAAGCGAGTCTCCCGCCTCCGCCTCCCAAGCAGCTGGGACCACAGGCGCCCGCCACAACGCCCGGCTGTCTTTTGGTTGCAGCCGTCATTGTTGTTTTGGCGGGTCCGGGCTGGGGATTCGAACCCGCCACCCTAGGTGTACGTGGCTGGCGCCTTAGCCGGCTGAGCTATAGGCGCTGAGCCGTGACGTTTTTTTCTTAAAGTAATTCTTCTCTAAGAAAGGATGCATCCCCTGCCTTAGGGACTCACCAACATGGATGCAAAGTGACCACCCTGACTGGAAAAAAAAGAAAAGGGGAATCAGAGCAGGAAAACCACACAGTGAGAATAACATGAAAAGAAAACTAGAAACTAAGACTGCATGACAGTGAAAGGAATGAAAAAGTTGTGAAAATAGAAAAAAGGCAAAGTTTAAGAAGAATAATTAAGA